CAACCTAGTTTGAATTAATACCTCGAAATAATGAAATACAATTTTCCCCTCAAACAGGCCCATTAAAATTTCTGGAATGGCTCAACAGTCCATTTATAAACCGAACAACCTAACCACGCCAATGTTTTGATTGGACAAACTGTATACACCATACCCACACTTGATGCACTGTCCGTGAGTACAATGTTTGTTTTCCTACGCCCGAAAATGTGGTGATTTTGCCAAGGTAGTCCATATGTTCTATGAAGTTGCGATTGGAATTTCGATGGGATTTCCAAGGAAACAAATATTTTTCCGGCACACAGTAAATATTTCAGGATCATCTCGCACTATTTGATGATACTTTGAACCTTCGCACACGTTAGCTATTTGTGTTAACGGAGATAAATATAGACCATAGCAGATCGCATAGGAGTACAAGAATTTTGCTCCAGAAAGGGCTTATTCCGATTGATAATACTTAGCTGACTTTTATGTAATAATGGGGTTTGTCGAAGGAAATTCCGTTTTTCACAATTGTGGAGTCTAATTTGTAACCACCTCTCAAATCTATTCGGAAAGTTCGGCTGAAGAAATCAAGAAAAACATTGAAAGGGGAAAAATCATATAATATTCAATAATGAAATCATTAGATATTCCTCAGATATCAAATTTCTTGGTTCAATCATAGATCAAAATTCATCATGGTCCAAACATATTGGAGAGATTCGAAAAAAAATATCACCAATCACTTTACAGAATTAGACATGAAATTTCTTTGAATTATCTAAAACTCATCTATTATTCCTTAATTTATTCTAAAATTCAATATTCGATATCTGTTTGGGGAACGGCTAGTTTATCAATTATAAAGCCACTCAGAATCCTTCAGAATAAAGTTGTCAATTGTATATATAAATTGGATTATTTGGAAACAACAAGAAACCTTTATAAACCAAATGAAATATTAGATCTTCGATCAATATATAAATTCAAAATATTAACATTTGTTCATTCAGTCAAACACAATTATAAACATTCAAATTTGAATTTTAAAATTAATGCTAATATACATTCACATTCACCTAGACAAACAGTCATGTTTTCCCCTCATTAAAATCAAATCAGAATTTGGCAAGAGATCTATATATTACAATGGATTATTACTTTACAATGAATTGCCAACAAGACTTGAAAAAAATATCAATACCAAAAAATTCGAGAAAGAACTCCAAAAATATTTATTCGTCTGAATGTTGTCATGTCATCCATATAGAGATTATATAACATATCAATTATTTTAATCATTCATTCACTCAACCAAGGATCAGCTCAAACTATGAGAATTACTAGAATAATTATTATACCTATAAATACTATATTTTGAATGTAATGTAATACATTATGGTTTATTTTTTAATGTTCCCATATACGTCAATTGTTTCTTGGGAATAATAAAGATGATGATGAAATCAATGGTGAGTACTTTTGGACAATAGTTACACTCTCCTTCAGATTCAAGATACAGGGTGTCCGAAAAGGTTTTTACTATTTGGAAAAATTATAACTCATTCAGTTTTCAATGTAGAAATTTTTTTCATTCATAAAATGAACTACCAATTGTGGAAATTTATTTGTAAAAAATCATTCCATCGAAATGCTGTCCTCCCACGTGCAATGTTTTCTCCAAACGTTCTCTGAAATTGACTAACACTCGGTGATATCGAAAAATTGTCACATCAATTATTCTCTCAGAAGTCCCGACTTTACTGGCCATTGATTTGTTTGTGAAGGTTCCTTCAATCATCGGTGTACACGGAAATGTCTGCAAATCTGAACCAGTTGAAGCAGAAAATTCGCGATGAAATTCGAGAAATATTCCACAACTCTGTGTCCGCGTGTTGGCCAATTTTTAGAGAACGTTTTGGAGGAGATGGTGTACGTGGAAGGACGGAATTTCGATGGAATGATTTTTCCTAGGAGCTTAAGTTCAACTTTAGCTCCTAGGAACTAAAATTCAACTTTAGCTCCTAGGAACTAAATATGTTGCCTAGCAACATACCTATTTTTGTGTCAGTAATAGACACGTCAATTTAAGAGCTAATTTTTTGTATCAAAATGAACGACTTTTGTGTCGGTTGCAGAAAAACTTATTTTTGTTATAAGACCAATTTTCAAAAAGTATTATTAGAGATTTCTTTTTCAGAAAAAATAATGATGAATTCTTAATCAGGATCACTGACAAAATGCTATGACGAGTCACACATTTTTTGACCAAACACAGAGATAAGCACACAATTAGAGACCTTCGAATGTAAATCGATCCTGGCCATTTAGAAACCTACTAACCTTAGATTTAACGGTCCGACTCTATTGCCATTATGTAAATTCATCTGCCGTGCAAGGAAAAAATGTCTATTCTCGATTGAACCGTTTTTTATGTTGTTATGTGGCAACGATATGTTTTACATGGCATAGAACACACCGGTTTTCAGAAAGAGCTATGAATAACACGATAAAATAGCGTATCTTGTCGTCACAGTGATAAATAAAGGGGTTATCAAAAGGAAACGGCGGTTATGGAACAGTCAGTACCAATAATAATACAGTGTGTCCGAGCTAAAGTCACGCCTTATATCCGAAAAAAAAAGCGTCAATTATTCATTTTCAGAAAACATCAATGATTGCATTTCAGAATAGTCAATTGAACCTCGGAAACCTTCAATTGTATTTCAAAATAGTCATTTATACAGGGTGTCCCACTTAAATGTGTCACCCACCTTTATCTTCGTAACAGAAAGCAGGGTAGCTATGAAAAAAAAGCTGTTTCAAATGAAATGATATATATTGTTGAACTAAGATTGACGGACTTCATGGAATTATGGGCATTCTATTTGAAAACATTTTTTTGAGCCACCTTGTATTTTGTTGATAAAAAGAAAATGTAAGCACATATTAAAGAAGATAGTAAGAAATTATTCCAGAAGAGATTTTGAATAACCAAAATATGTTGAGATTTAAGGGGGGGGGCGACACATCTAACTGGGACACCCTGTACAATTGTATTTCAGAACAGTAAACTGAAAGCTTCAATTATATTTCAGAATAGACAATTGCATTTCAGAAAATATCAATTACATTCCATGTGAGGAATGCATAGTGTTCAGAGCTTCCGAAAGCTCTTTGAAGTGAACTTTATGTTTTCATTTTCTCAAATGGTTTTATCATAATTATTATGATATGGCCTATATCGGAATCATTTACGTTCATATGATTAAGTGATACTTGAAATGGCTTGGTACATTTCTCGACGTTTCTGTCATGGACTCACGTGCAATGACTAAAAATCCTAATTTAAAATTTCTATTAATTTATGAATCCAAACTAACTCCTTAGTCCTTAGTTGGATATGACAGTATCAGTAAAGTAATCATAAAAGCCGACTCCCTGTTTTTCAAGATTGATTTACCTCCAACTCAACTACCTGATTGAGTGAACACTGTTTATATCATGCAGTACATGTGCATGAGCAGTAAAATGCAAGATTGAGTTCGTGTCAGTATGATTTAACATTTCTAATGCACTTCATAAATCCAAGTTGAAAATAGAAAATGTGTTAACCTTGAACTATATATTCTGACATTCTATTCGCACACTGTTGATATACACTTCAAACTAAAAAGTGTGCTAGAAAAATAAATGGCATTCACTATACCGAAATCTCTGCTGTTATTTGATGACTGAAAAGCTATATCAAGTAGATATTGAAAAAACTTCCCGGGATTTTTTGCGAAGCATGTGTGGCAGATTCTTCATCTGTATAATATAATTCATTGATAAAAATGTTTACTACTGATGCACATATATTGATATACAAGTTTTATAAGACACTATTTTGACGCACGCGTTGTTTGGAGTAGACGAGCGAAGCGATAGGAGTGCTCCAAAAAAACTAGTGCGACAATATTTCTATTTTCCATTCATTTGTACTCTTTTATTCAAAACATAATTTCATCAATTAAATCATCAAATATTGAAAATATAAGCAGTAAGTAGGTGGTAACAATGAAATAACATTCGAATGTTTATTCTCTAATCACACATAACTTCCTGTCAATCTTGTCTGACAGTTTGACGTTACCATTACCGACATTGAGAGAAGAAATTCAGCGTGTCCTGATAGAAGGTGTTTCAATACCCATTTGGATGTCATAATGACATCATTAAATACGCAAAATTGAAAAATAGTATTTTTTGCAAGGATCATATAAAAAAGGTTAAGAGTTGGCTCATAGAAACACAAAAACAGTCCGATGATCTTTTTTAATCAACTCTTTTTCTTTCCCTAATGTTATTCTTACTATTGTATGTGTATTGATTATTTGTATTCAATTCAAGTATTCATATTGTGAAAAACATTTGTATACTTACATGAAATAATTCATCTCTTTCACACACAGGCCACTAGCCCATGTGAAGGAGGTACAATATGAAATATAAATATTTATGTAACTGATATTCAATGGCAAAATATGTAGATTTGACATGATTCAATATATAAATAATAATAATAATACATGAACATGAGGTAACTTACGATATGAGCATAAAGCGCCCATCAAGTAATAGATAAAAATAAAACTTTTGACGCGTTTTGATTGAATGTCGATCGAATTTAAATGTTAACCAACCCTTATCAACTCAGTTAGAAACATAGACCCACTTGATTATGCCAAGTTCATGTTTCTATAGGCCGAAAATTCGGCGAAATATTAGGCGAAAACCATTTTCATCACAAAGGCTCCGTGAAAGTTTTATGCCATGCATTCATTTGCGATATAGTTTCTCGAATTTCAAAACGAATAATTTTTTGTGATGGATTGAGTTTTTTCAATAATTGATTATCTCTCACTCGCAATTCCATAGTACCTTGATTGATAAAATATTATTAGATTAGTTTGAAACTTAAAAATGCAACCATATTCATTGAAATAAATAATAATAGCAGTGGAAAAACTTACACTTCTCGTTTTATCTCATCCTCTGCAATCAAATCATACATATGTATATTATTCGTTGCCATGTTGACCAGAAAAAGGGCATTTTTATCTGAAACAAAAAATTATAAAAATAGCGGATATGCATTGACTACACAGGAACATTTATCCAAAATATCATAATTGTATATTTAGGGATACCAAAAATACGTAATTCGGCAAATAAAAAAAAAGAATTACTTGATGGTTTCAAGGAAAGAACTAGTTATTCGATGATTTGTAAATTCTGAATTGAGTACTATTGGTAATATTCCTAATCAGCAATAAAAATTCAATTGTCTCAAAATGTTCCCTTATGATTTGTGGTTTATTGCTTATGATAAATTTGTGTAAATAATAATTATATTGATTCACACTAGAGGACATTTGAATCGGTGAACGTGACAACAGCGCACGAATTATGGGCGTGGTCTTGTCAGTTCTCAGCATTCAGCACAATTCTGCCAAGTCTCCCAACATTTACATGATATTTTGTTATGGAGAATAGTCAAGAATGAACCATAATATCATGACTTCCCCCTATTATGTTTTATTCAACGACAGGACTCAAATATCTTTTTGATGATGAATTTTATGAAAAAGAAAACAAATTCAACATACGCCAACCATATATTAGAAGAAAACCATAGTTTCTTTTTTTTTAGAATCAATCAATCTTCATTTCAATCCTTGCTATAAACATTACATTGCATCTCATATAAATATGAATATAATCATTAACATTTACAATGGAATAACATGAATAATCAGACAGATTCATATCTGGTATGAGATTATTCATGCGTTATCAAATTGAATTATAGTTATTGAAATAAACAACAGAATATGGAGAAAAAAAAAGCTCATGAAAAGTACATTATGACATGATGAAATAAATTAGTCAATGAGAAATCATTCACTCAGGTTTGATTTTCTCTTTGCAAGAGGATATGTTTCTTGACTTTGATTTTGAATTGGGTGATATTTGTGCAATTTTTGATATTATCAGGTAATTTATTGAATTTTGAGATAGCTCCGTGAGTGAACTTTTTTTGACCAAGTGTAGAATGAGCAGCATCAAGATGAAACAAGTTATATTGTCTAGTATGATGTTCATGGATTTGAGAATTCCTTACCAATATGAAGTTAGATTTGAGGTGTTTGTTGATAATATCAAAAGAAATTTTGAGAGTATTTATCAGATAGTGCTCTTCCAAAGAAAATGTTTTGATGATGATTTCGAAATTCTGCAGGTAGAAAATAAAGGACTGAAACTCAATCATTTTGAATCATTAGAGATCAACAAACTCAAAAATTTTGACATTTTACTTAATGATCAATTAGACCTCAATAGTTCACCACTGTTGAATTTGTTTTCTTAGTAAGTAATAATATGTATTTGCTATCAACTCTTTCAAGTTAATCCGGTACACCGTATTTTAACGTAGATATTATGTCTAATTTCCGAAAATGGAGGTTTATCGTACCTGTCCACAGGTAACTAATCAATCAGGTTGGGAAAGTAAGATATATATAAAAGTTAAGCAAGCCAACGTTAGTTTAGTTCATTGTACCAGTATATCACCTGACGAAGCTACTGTGTTAGCAAAACATGTCGTGTGTTTGAGAATTTTGTGGAAATCTTATCGTTTGTGAAGTTTTTACAAATGGGAGATATTTTTTTTCTGAGCAATTGAATATGCGATGACAAAGATAGAGTCTGGTCTACAGTTAAACCTAAGAGTTTGGAGTTTTTTGTAGGATTTATACAACATTTCTCTGAACAAACTATCTGCCGCAAGAAAGAAATATACTCACATGAAGCGTTGGTCCTGACTAGAAGCGTACTCATTTTGATTATAGGAGCGAGCGGCATCGTATTCGTCGTCGAGCCCGATTGGAAAAACTTCAAGTGGAACTTCTCTCCCTCCCGATGCAATATCACGACGATCTCTTCAAGAAGCAGGATGTGCACTGGGACGATCGGTTTGTTGGGCCTGCGCAGGTGCATCGAACCCTCTAAGATCAACCTAAAAAACGAACGTGGTGATGGTAATGACCATTGTCTGCTGAATATGGAAAAAATCTAGTGAGCTGTAGCATCTGGTCTGCTCGAACAAGTGAAATCACCTACAGGTTTCTGTGACCGATACAGTAGTGCCGCCATGGTCAACTCGAGGAAACACTTATTTCAATTGGTTTCCTGTCAAACCTACATAACCTTGAAAATCGTTAAGAAGTTGAGCAGCTCCGTCAGCGGTGCTTTCGGCAGTCTCGGCCGGCGGCGTTGTTTGTTCAGTTGAGTTCAGTATCACGACAGTCACGGTCACTCAGTCACTCAAAAATTCAGAAAAGCATTCCTTCTCAAAATGGTTGCTACAGACACTACAATAGTCCCCAACACATAACGTTCAACACCTAAATTAAATGAGAGGTGGAATCAGTAGTATCCATTATTAGCTTTTGATCAGGGCTCTGTTATCTTACTTATAATGAGCCTGTAACACTCAATATCGTATGTATCCACTTATGTTGCAAAGAAATATGACTTGGCATGACAGCTCTTGACACTGACAACTCACATAACCACAAATTTCGAAAATTTTCTAGAAAAAAGTGGAGATCATTTCGTCCGATACGTCATACCCTCAACTGAGCTATAGAGCAGACCATTGGTTACAGCTCACTAGAGTTTTTTTCTACATATTGAGCAGACAATGGTAATGACAATGCTAAGGCTATATTTTGCTTTGTGGAAATCATCAGTTTATCTTTCATTACATAATTTTATTTGTCATGTATCCCTGTTATGAACTGATTTGCTTCTTGGGGTAATAAAGACAATCAATCAATCAGATAAATGTAGATAAAAGCAAGGACAATCATAGAAACCGAAAAAATTATTGCAATTGATTTCATTGGATTTATGCAATAAAGTCTGTCAGCTACTGACCTTCCGATTCAGTAATGTCAGTAGACGTACAGGCTATTGGAGATCGTATTTCCGAAAATTCTGACTGAATTTCTGTATTTCTAGTCGATATTTTGTAACTTCACAACAATCACCGTACAAGTACAAAAATTTGATGATTCTGAAATGTGTACTATATCGATAATATAATCAATATAGGATTTAAAAATTAACAGAGTTCACCTACTTACCGATATTACCTCAAAGTTCATTAAGAACAAGTTTTGCTTCAATAGGAAAAGATTGGAGTGAAAACCAAATTCAAACTATAGTATATTCCAGATAAGAATAAAGTAGATGGCATGTATAACAGAGCCCACTTTACACTAGTAATCCCACCAAATACAAATATTTTATAAAAATGCCGAATTTTTGTGATAAACCAATTGATATGATATATGACCAGCTGACATTGATAATTGATTTTGCAGAAGAAGAATGAATTTGAGGTTATGGAAGCAGCCGGATGCCAATGAAAAACGAATCCGTGTCCTGTGATTATCTCAATATAAAAACCATTGATCATCATCAATAACCTCAACTTCTGAATTTTAGACTGGTGGGATATTTCTTTTTATACAAATACATGATGAAGTATTCGCCATAGAAAATAACACGTCACTCCACCTGACGGCAACAACACTTCTGAGCAGTTTGAACCAATAAGCACAAAAAAAAACAAATATGAACCAATGAAAACAAAGTGAACATGCCGCTTTGACAGCTTCCAAGAACTCCGATAGATGGCGTATGCTTATTTTCTATCGCGAATATACTTTTTCAAGTAGGAATGACATGAATGATCAGACAGTCATGATGTATTCTTAACTGAAATGTACTAAAGCTTTTACAAAATAGACAAGTTTCTGTGTTATTAGGAGTTTGGGTCAGATTGTATCCAGTTCTTTCTTCAATAACATTGTCACATATTGATTATTGAAATGTGACTCAATTTAATTCACAAAAAATATATATTTGATTGTTTGTTCTCACCTATATTTGCTCAAATCCAACGGCCTGAACTCCTGCGCGATAGGATAATCAGATCTCTCGAAATTGCTCGTATCCAGATGTCTCTGGATATCTTCGAGCCGGTGCTGGTTGTGGGCCAATTTTGCCGCTTCGTTGACGTGGTTGAGGATTTCCTTCGGTTCAAGAAAATTGTCAATTATTCCGTTGTCACAACACATTTCACTCAAGAATGACGGGTGATTTACATTATGTGTAGTACCACAAGTGATATTGTCTTTTCGGAAAGATTCGGTGATTGTTATGACAGCTTGATGCTTGTAGTATGATAAACAAAATATTTCCAGGAAAAACAGTATCACAAGTTGTATTCATATGACTATTCCAGTCTTGTTTTTGAGAATCAATCAGAATCGAGAAAAGATTTTCATAGTATCTCTTGTATTACTGCAATATTTTTTGTTTACCAAATATTATCGGACTTTCTGTACCAATACAGAAACCGTGACCAACCAACCCTATTTTCAGCGATGAAATCGATGTCAATATTATAATTAGTATTAAACCCTTTTTTAACTTGGACACCACAACTCTGCACTCTCTATAGCTGAAAAATGAAGTCGACTGGTCGAATGTGGCTCAATTTCGCTTTTGTCTTCACCGTTTCAACATGACAATAATGCATAGACCTCAATTTGGATGGCAAAACAACACTCATTGGACATACTTTTGCTCAACTCAGTCTGAAGGAAGTCATCTGTTTGAGATCAAAAACAATCATCAATCAATTTTTTTTTTGTAACGTGGAAACGGTTCAATGGGGAAGTTTCCTTCAGATGAATTTTCATAAAATAAATTCGGAACTCTCCAGTTTTATGTTCTCGCTGTACAGAATGGCGACCGATGAAGTCCAAGTCGTTTTCATTTTCGATTTAAAGCAATTTCTGAATCTAGTCTGAAAAAAGCTGGTGTCAACGAATCTATTAGACAAGTCATAACTTCTAAACCGTTAGGTGTATCAGAATGAGATTTGGTATAGGTAAATGGTATGTCCAGAGGAGAGTTTTCACATATTTTTCACTTTCCGGTCACTTCCGGTTTCACTGGAAATGGCTCCGATTCTAAATTTTTAAATGGAACACCCTGTATATTGTAACATTTGTGGATTTCTGAGACAATTCTAGATCAGAATGTGACATTTTCCATAGTTTTTATGAGGTCCTTAGATTAGTTTACTTCCGATCATAGCCACCTAGATGTAATTTCAAAAGTGACTCCGAAAAAATTGAGTAGTCATAAAAACTTTGGAAAATGTCACATTCTGATCTAGAATTCTCAGAAATCCACAAATGTTACAATATACAGGGTGTTCCATTTAAAAATTTAGAACCGGAGTCATTTCCGGTGAAACCGGAAGTGACCGGCGAGTGAAAAATATGTGAAAACTCTCCTTTCGACATACCATTTACCAATACCAAATCTCGTTTTGATACACCTAATGGTCTAGAAGTTATGACTTGTCTTAGAATAGAGCTAAACATAAAACTGGTAAACAAAAACATACATAACTAAAAATGCACTCGGAGCAGGAATGCAGAAGGTAGTTGGCTTCATTCTGACAGGTTATGGTATTGTTATTTATGCATTGAAATATCTCAAATAGAGCTCGATCCCAAACGAAAATATCATTGAATCAATGAATCACTATCGGCTACATTCAATGATACTATCCTTCCTAATTTTCTGCCATCGGTCAGACAGAATGAAGCCGACACCCATGACTCCTTCTTCTTGTTGTGCCTGTCAGTATTTTGAGTGGTGTGGACGGACTCGAAGTATCAGGCTCTGTTGCAAGATATAATTTGCAACTTTCTTAGGAAATAGATCCGTTTCATTGAGGAACGACTTCATTAGCACAAAAATTACTGACAATTTATGAATAACATATTGGAATATAAGAATAGGAAAACATTATAGATACTATAGCGAAATATCATAATTTATCTTTATTAGTAATCAACTTCATTCAGCCAATGAGAGATTTATGGGAATTATTCATAATACTTGACAAAGTTGGATTGAAGAACCATTGCTGTTATGATATAGTTATTAGGGATTCAAAGAAAAATTTCCGGAAATCTAGACATATTGATGATGTCGGCAACGTCGTCTGGCACAAGGAATCGTATTTTAACTCTGTGTGAATGTGGATTTTCAGAAAGTAAGTCATAGGAATGGTGGAGGAGCCAAGTTCCTCTTTTTTTTTCCTGAAGTGAAATTTGATCCTACCAGAAAAAGAAAAAATACGTATATATTATTTTTTTACAAACTTCACAGTGAGATAAAAACCTCAATATAGAAAACTCCCCCATTACAGCATCAATAATTGAAATGGCAGTTCAAATAATCTAAAAGATGATTGAACATTGACAAAGGCATCTGTATAAAAATGTCTTTATTATCAATAATCAATAGTAATGAGTAATACTCGGGCTATAGTATACAATATTTATTAGTCAACTCAAACGTTTTCAGCTCTAGGCCATCATCAGGAGAGTATCTGAAATGTGAATTTTCTTTTATGGGTATCATGTGTGTAAAATATTTGAGGTTAAAAGTTTGTTAATTTCGGAGAAGAAAATATGTGAATAAAATTGTAAACTCACTTGTCAAATAGTCTTACAGAAGATCTGCATTAAAAACAATGGAATTGTATCATTCAGCATTGGTTATTTCATCGGATGTTTTTGGATTTATCCAAAATATTTCAAAAAGCAATATCAATTAAGATGCTGTTCCCTCTACTTTCGGGAAGAAAATACATAAAACTGAATAAATTGAGACATGACAGACGGATTGACATGAAACGAGATGATAGAAGATAATTAATGACAGTGACCACGAAACAAATTGGAACATATGACAAGCATATTATCGATATGCTATGACTAATTTGAAGGTAAACAAATACCGAATGGTTGATTTTTTAATTCACCTTTGACATGTGGTGGGCCCTCTTCAGCCTTGAAAGCTCCTCCTCCTGCTGTTGGGCCTGTTCGGGATCCGATTCCACGCTGTGGATGAGCCTTTCGAGGAGCAGGGGATATTTGGAGAGCCGCTGCATTTCCGTCGGCAGGATGCCTTGCAGCTGCAACCGTCTGAAATCGACCAGCGAAAGCATAATGTCACAAATGATAAGATATTCTGAGTCAAATTCCAAAAATTCTTCTAAAATCATATTGGTTCTAAGTCATTGAACGTTCACGTATCTGTTTATTATTTCCAAAATTATTGAACCACGAACTTTCCATTAATAGTTGAACCTAAACACAGGCGTGACAATGACTTCAAACCATCCACCTGACTTCCTCACTGTCACGTTTCCAAAATATAGATTAAATATATAAAAGGCGTGAGGAAACCAGCACAGGTATTTTTTCGATCATTCGAACAGTTTCGATCATTCGGTCATTCAAGCATTCAATCAGTTTCAACCATTTGCCACTTTGCCCGAATCTTCGTAGTTCGGGCAGAAGAAGATGCCCTTCCTCAGGCTCCCAGAAATGCCTTTTAAATTTGTACATATAGGGTAAGTTAAGTTTTATTTATTGTTAATCATAATACAAAGAATAAATGTGTGTATATGTTTTGTTGAAAACCCTTTGGAGTATTCTTTATCATTATCACTTTCAAAGTTCATTCTCTAATGGATCTAGAACACAACTTAGGCAACCCCCGCCTACAGTTTGTGACAATGTTATTGAATGAAAAAAACTTCACAAACGTAAGGTCAATTACCATTCTTAGATGTTCAAAAATGGCGAAAACAATTTGGAATTTGATGTTTTTAGAAAAGAAACTAACACACTTGGATACATAACTATTGACTCCAATCACTGTTTCAACACAAAATGGCAACAAATAGAGAGAAACTCAAAGTCATTACCACAATAGTTCATGAAATGAACGAAAATGGTAGTTAACGAGAGAAAAACAACTATTTTCCTGGCTATATGCCAAGCAGAGCATTGGATTACATCCTCCCGAAATCTATGCAATAATTCATATAGACGAATAAAATCGCAGGTGTTTCCTTCCTAAACTTAGGCGCAGGCTTGGAAAGAAGTTGTTTTTCTCTTGTTATCTACCATTTTCGTTCATTTTATGAACTATTGTGGTAATGATTTTTGAGTTTCTCTCTATTTGTAACCATTGCATTCCAATTTGAGTATTCGGCTTTTTCCTAGTTACAAAATGGCAAGTTTAAATTTCCTAGTACATAGAATAGTTTCATTCCCTCTGAGCAAACAAAGATTCGATGTTGAAAAGAGTGTTGTTCATAAATATTATATATATGTAGACATAAATTAAAGTTATCACTCAGGAATTCTACGACTTTTCAAGCGGATAAAAACAATCAGAGAAAAATCCCAATCCATTTCAATCCCAAGTACACAAGAGTAGAGTCCCTGTATGTATTTGACACTTTTGTTGTAATAAGAGTACGGACACTATGACAAGCAGTGACAGAAGGCATAACCCTAAAAAATTTGAAATGACATGAACAATTTGGCGGGCACTGACAGTTCATGAACGTACATGACATTAAATTATTGGAAAATTCAGGTTTTCAAAAATTAAAATGTCTAATTGTGTAGTGGAGAATTGCAAAAATGGAAGCGAGTCCTTTCATTTATTCCATTTCCCCCATTCTAACCAACAAGTACATATACCCTTTGTTAAGTATATCGAGAAATACTTTCAACAAATGGATATACAAACTATGACCCATTTTCGCCAGTGAGATGAGACGCCACTTCTTTATGAAAATAAAGACAGAGAAAGATATATGGATGTACCCTTCACCGCGGAAGTAGAGGATAGAAGATCCGAAGTGCATGGAAAAGCATATCCATGTCTTTGTTCAAAAGTCATTTTGAGAATTTGGGGTTATGCCTTCCGTCACTGCTTGTCATAGTGTCCGTACTCTTATTACAACAAAACTGACAAATATATACAGGGAATTATACATACAGGGACTCTACACAAGAGGACTCGATAAGGTTTTCAGAGATTTAGGTTTTGAAAGCGTTTATCGGTCTGGGACAAAGTTAGGCAATTCATTATGTAATCCCAAAGATGAGGTGGACACACTTGAAAAGTCAGGAACAATGATTGTGATAAAACATACATAGGCCAAACCAGGCGTCCCATAAAAACAAGGTTCAAAGAACACTTACCACATTTGAAATATGGTAGATTAGATAAATCGTGTGTAGCTGAACACATGTTCAATCACAATTATAACACACATATCAATAACCTCAAATTAGTTAGGCAAGTTGATAATGTCAAAAATATAGATGCATATGAAGGCTTAGAAATATTTAAGAATAGTAATAGAGTAATGAATAAGGATAATGGACCTATCCCATTTAGCCCTCTGTATAATTTAGTAATATAACATGTGAACTCAACCATGAATAATATTGTCTATTCACGGTTGAGTGGAAATATTCTCAGTATATAAGAAGCCCACTAGGATAGCGTATTTAGTTTTAATCGTCTCCTGAAGATGCTAACATAGTTAGCGAAACACGTGTCGAGGTGTAAAAAATCGGCTTGGTTAGTGGTAAAACAGTGTGTAGTGTATCATCGTGCCAAAGGTTCCAGTCGTCAATATAAACGATAAGATTTTCACGAAATTCTCGAAAACACAGTAGCTTCTTCAAGTGAAAGAAGCTACTGTGCTATGCAGAAACTACTATGTTAGCGAATCATGTCATGTTATTAAGAATTTCATAAAAATTTTATCATTTGTGAAGTTTTCTACATTTACTATGGATTTCAATCAAGTAACGTACGAGTCATTAAAAAAAAATCAATTTCACTAGTTTTGTTTGCGATAAATCAACTCCTCCACAGAAAACGCTACTTGACGATGACAGGAGTCATTTTGACATCGTTGAAAAACGATGCACCTTTTTTATCATTGTAAAACTGCCGGTTCCATTCATCTAGTAGGTATGCGCCCGATGTCACTCTGATTTCTGTCATGTCATTGGGTATTTTTCACGCGTATATTAGCAAGATGAGCCGTTTTAGAAAAATTTGCTTTATGAAAAGATCTGGGACACCCGGTACATGTTCCTCAATACTTTTCCATCTACCACACCACACTTTGAATGAGCCGTATGTTCTATGAACCTAGTTTCAAGGGGTCTACTAGTTTGCCCAACATATGTTTGGTCTCAACTGCAATTTTATTCATGATTTTTCAGAATATTTTCTCTGTTCTTTGGTATGTCTAATGAATCAACTGATTTAGAGCAAGTTTCCATCAGGGTGTTCAAATGTATGCTTCTGAATAAATTTATCCATTTTCGGGGCATAACTATTGAACCTAGTAATTTAACATACAAAACTTTTTCGAAAATTGATTTCCTTTCTTTATTAATAGTCACCAAAGATTTCAGTTCATAAAATTGGCTTCATGAGCGATAAAGAGTGACATTTGTGTCAGAGGTTTCAGATTATTAAGGCACACACAGTTTACCAATGAATTAATGTTTTTTCAATGTCCATTCATTCCACCCACCTGCACTGTCGTTTCTTTTCGCATTCTATCAGCACCGCGTCGAACTTCGAATCTCTCTCCCGCCGCCGTTTGATGAATTCCAGTGCCAGCTGCTGTCTTTCACAAAAAGTTGCTGCCGCCCTCTTCAAAGACTCCCCGAATCTAGAATGATTGGAAGAAGCTTACAATTCAAGCATCAATAATCATTTTTCATACTGGAAGTTTTACAACCAACAAAACAATTTGTATCCAGTAATGATTTCTCGATTTTAGCAAGGCATATTTCGGTCAAATCAAATAATGAATAGGGGTCGAAATATCTGGGTGCACTACTTGCAGGGCACTCTGATAAATATCTGGAGTCCCATTGTGAAACGTATGTCGTGATAATTTTTGGCTGGACAACTTGAATGTGAAATGTCCCAAAGTAGGTAAGCACTTCAGAGTAACTTGTTGAAAAGAGTGATTCATTTTGTTTATTTCTTCTGCAGAAAAAACATCACATTCTGAGGATCTTTGTGGAACCGCTACCAAATCGATAAATGGAAAGAATTTTTCGAATAAAACATCTTATTCAACTCGGCATTAATAGCTTATGACATACAATAACAGCCTATATAACATAATACTCCCATGATAATTGTCAGAAATTCACTACTAATAATTATAAATTCATTAGTTATTATAAAGTACATGAAATGAGAAATATGAATTATTAAAAGATGAACGTGGCAACACCACAAAGTTTCGTATGAGACTAGCAATTTGTAAGAAATGTCATGTGTTTCATTAGTTATTAATTGTTTTTTGGCTGTAGTGTCATTAGTTTTCGGTGCTTCAGTAACTCAATTAATATTATAAATAATCTGAAGCAGGCTTTTTAGTCAATACCTATGGTTCGGCAGTGTCAAATCTGTAAAGAAAAGTTTGTTACAAATATCACAACCTGATATTTCACAGGTACGTATAAATTTGGAACAGTAGCGGTCGTGTTTGAGTGCTTGCATTTTGAATGAAAATATCAAATAACCCCACTAAGACGTTGCAAATTGAGATTTGACTCATTATTTGTCAATGTGCTGAAATTCGCTAGATAGCCGTTCACGATGCGAAGGTACTGCCGGTTCGATGGAATTGAAATCCCGATTCATAAGATATAAAGAATACCAATTCTCTGGCAATAATTCTACAGTTATCCCCACCATTCACGGTTCCATTCATTTATCCGTGTTTGGCGATTGAGATTGTCGGCGTATACTTTTTAATGATTTATGAACAAATCCCATTGGTCTATGTTATTTACTTCGAAGTACGCACCTATCTCCGAACATCCCTCCCAACATGGCGCCCAACTCCTTGACGATAGGGTCCTCCCTCCTCCTTCGGCGCATCTCCTTACTGAACTCCGTATGGAGGTCGAGGATCTCCTTGATGTTGGGGAAGAGGAGGTTCAGCTCGTCCTGCTTGAGCGTCTGCGTCTCGTGGATCTTCTTGTAGAAGATCTTGTAGAGCACCTTCAGGTTGCGCACGTGAGAACTTTCGGTGTGGAAAAGTTCTAAAATATGATGATAAATCAAAGTTCAAAGTTGACAAGCAAGAATCCTCACGTGGAGAGAAACAAAACAAATAATTAAAAAAACAAAATCGATGGTACTACAACAGGAAAATTGTTTAGAGTGGGTATAACCAACAATTCTCCAAAGTGGGGTGGAAAGACCTCTTGAACAAGCACTATCAAGGAGACTTGGAGAGACCATCCATAAAAAACATAGTCATATTTTTCTTTTTATAAATAAGAAGCAGCATCATATTTATAAAAGAATAATCAGAATTTATATTGTTCGGGTGACCATCACAAAACATCAAAGAACAAGAACAAGAACAAGAGAAATTGGCAATAGTTTTAGTCTGATCATACCACTCCATTTTGAGAAAAAAGGACGTTTACCTAAGATTATGATAATATTTAATAAAAATGACAATAATAATGATTATGTTATAATAATATAACAATACTTGTAGCTTTTTCATTTACTGAGACAAAGTTCTAGTGATGCAATGGGAAAGTTTCCCATATTGAGATCATATTTTTTTTTTCAAATATCAAGAGCTACACAGTAGATTGCCGTCACCTATAGTCAACAAGTGTAACCCCTAGGTCACACGCTACAGAGTGGTACACTACCAGAAAACCACTCTCCTGACAGATAGGGCACTTGAATATTATTCAACTGGAATCTCGTAGCGCCTGATGTTTCTATCGAACTTAGATCACTAGATGACATCATGTTATCATCCAGCGTGAGTGATATACTCGAACGTTCAGTTGTCCCAATTGACAGCTGAACGAGAACGACTGATAGGACCAGCTATCTCTATTCATCTTAGATCTCTTAGTTATGAGTAATTGTTCTCTGCATATAGGTTGATTCAACTTTTGTATTGACAAAGCAAGTTAAATAATTTAGAGTAGACAAAAAATATTTCGTCATGAGTGTAGTAGTCAGCAAAATGTTTCTCTTTTTTAGAAGTTGGTAGCAACTCACCGTTTATCACATCTTGTCGTTTTTTCTCGTGCGGAGAGAGATTTTTCAATTCTTCGAGTGGCACCAGATTTTGCCATTGCTCCGATTCAACATCAATATCACTATCTGAATCGGGGGCTCCGCGTTGAGCAGCCGCCTGGATGACAGCTTCCACGCTATTGCTAGGACTCTCTGACAAACGTCCACTGGAAATACGAAGAATATTAAACGATACGGATATAATACCTCATCAATTATATGTAAAATTATGAACAATAAATATTTGGTCCTAATTCCGATTAGCTAGGCGACAATTCCTTGAATATGAATAAAACCTGTACAGGGTGTCCCAAAATTGCTGGAACACAGAGCTTCTACGTGTAATAGAGTTCAAAATAACTTGATTGGACCCAAATTATTTATATTCAGAGAGAGTACATAAAACACATTTTTGAATGCTGTTCCAAAATGAGTGAAACAAATTGGATGAAATTTGACAAAAGTGCATTTTAGAGGATAACCCTTCTTTCAGTGATCAAAGACGCCCGAAATAAATTGTAGAAGGGTTCAAACCACCCTCAACCCCCGAATTTTTTTTCAGAACATTCTCAGGGGCAGTAATATGGTTCTCAGATTTTCTAAGCATTTTTTTCCTTCGGAACTATGCGGAATACGAACTTTTCACTGGAGTAACAAAATGGAGATAATTAATCAGTCATCTCGCTCAAAAAACTTGAGAACCCTAATACCACCTCTAAGAATGTTCTGAAAAATATTTCAGGGGGTCAGGGTGGTTTGAATTGCATCCAATTTGCATTACTCATTTCAGAACAGCCTACAAGTGTTTTTTTCTATGTAAACTTTAAACTCGTCTCACGGACACACGGTACATTTTGTTACATAAATAAATTATTTTGAACCTTATTACATGTGGTGGCTCTGTGTCTCTGCAATTTCGGGGCATGTTCATAAATATATCTGAGAATATTCCTTTTCAATGATATATCAGTTTTCGCACATAAAACGCATATATTAATGCCAGATGAAATGTGGTTCGAAAACACGCGATAACAAAAACGGGTTTTATAACATCATGTTAATGCATTCGAGCGATGTAGGTCACTTTTGATCTTTTGCAGTTCGAATTTAATCACTACACTAATCACTGCACGCCTCAATGTTTACAAAACACACAAACATTGACATTGAAGTTCTCCTCGGTATGCTGATTTAACGAAATTGAACTGCAAAAATGTTTATTAGGACTACATGCATTTTCCATAGAATTGTCCAAAAAAAAAATTCGAAACGAAAAGCAACAAAAATATCTTGGAATTACTAAAAACTAATAATTATAACATGAGGAACATCACCCAGATTCATGGTCGAATAGGACTATTAAAATAATAGATTTTTACATGAAGGTCTTGGAAAAACAAGATATTTACGATTTGCTCAACTGTATTGGGCATCGGAAGATCAGTATATGTTCCCAATCTCAAGATACTTGAGTATTGTACCAGACAAAATATAACATAAGTAGTGCAAAATCAGTACCACGAGATTTTTTTTTATTTTATACAAAATCTCGTTCATTTGACAAAAATGGAAATATTCCCATTAATTAAAAGGAGAACAAGTGATTTTTTGAAATTCGGTTCGTTTGATTGCTTCCGCCTCAAATAAAGAAGTTTGAGTAATGGAAATAATTTATCTGATGAAATTTGAAGAACAAGTTGTATTTTTTTTTTTCATCAATCTGAAAGAAAAAACAGTTTACTTCATCACTAACAGATTTTACAAGTTAAATTAAATTTTGCGGTCTTTCTTTATGATCGATCAAATAGTGATGCAATGTGTGTTGCATAGATTTGCGGTGAATACAAGCGAGTACCGCTTACGTCTTAAGGTGAGTTCCCAATGAAGCTTTTCTTGCTTTTCGCGTCATGCACTATGATTGGTGACGCGTAAATGAGAATTGCTGCACTGTTTTTTATTATTTACTTCAGTTCCCAATGAAATTTCCTATCCTTGTCGATGTAGTCGAAGTTTGCGTTGAAAAATCATGAGAATATCAGGATACTGAAAATATAGAATAATGCTTGCAAGGTATACAGAGCTGCATCAGATAAGTAATTCATCAAAAATCGAAAATAGCAAAGTGAAAATGAGATAATCAGGTAGGTACCTACTTTCACTTTCTGAAATGAAGGTTTAATGAAGTTGCACTCAAAATTTCTACATTTTCATGAAAAATCTTGTGCTGGAAGAATTCATATATCCTTTCTCGTGAAAGGATAATATACTGTGATTAAGGTTTCGGGAACATAACCTCAACGCAACATAAAGCAGCCACGCCAAAAAGTTGAAATATTTCAACTTCGTCGCGTCAAATATTTTTCAAATTCAGCGTCACCAATCAGGTTGCATGACGCGCCACCGGTAAACCAAAAACGCTGCATTGGGAACTCACCTTTACTTCGTGTATACAAGTGTTTTCTAGAAAAATGAACGTTTGTGTTGTTATCGGGAAGCTATAACGGATTGTTACACCTAAGATATAAGAGAATAAAGATGTTAGAAGCAGGTATAAATAATTTTGACAATGAATAAACAAGGTTCAATCGAGGAGGAGTATAATATCAAATGTTTGGCTTGAATCACGTCTATTGGTCAAAACCAATGAAATGTCCGATTTTGACATATTTTAGTCAGATCAAGGTACAAATGGGAAATGGGACCAACAAAGAAGCAGGGGAAATCAGAAAGCACCAGCTACTTACTTGCATGATATACTGGAATTTGATGAACTACCAGAATCGGTATTCGATAAACCCGTATGCCGGTCCAAATCCACATCGCCACTACAAAAACATACAAAAAATGATAGCGGAAACTACGCAAATCCCAAGCATGGCACAGTTATCACAATTTCCTCGATAGTCATCGTGTGAAGTGCAAATGTTTGACATCTACAATAGGTGGCGTGCACGATGACCGACCTTGGAGGTAGAATATTGAAACACAACCTCACTTTTTTTATTTGTTTACAGGAAGGATTGAAACAGTTTTTCACAATATTTTGGAATACGAATCGGGCTATTCATTATTTCAAGCATGCCTTCTCATTGTGCTGTTGTGCAATGCACAAGAAATGCAGCAAGAGACGAAGGAATATGATTTTTCAGGTTAATAGTAATCTCACAGTTTTCATTATGACATTTTGTTATTTCTCATTATAATTCTTTCTGCCACTTCTGCAATAGAAGCTAATACTGCTATAAGATTGAAAATGTCTACAACATTATAGGGATTCCCTTTCGTGCGCTCCAAGCGATAAAAAAAACACACACACACACACGATCATATTTCGTCAGCATGTCAGACAAGTCCTCCCGTTTGATTGAAAGAATCCAATCTTCTTGCATTATTACCAATTACCAATTACCAATTTTCAAACCATAATGTACCAACCGGATTCCTTCGTCTCCCGCTGCATTTTTTGTGCATTGTACAACATCACAATGTGATAGCATGCTTGAATTAATGAATATCCGAAATACACCATTCGTATGCTGAAATAATTATGAAAAACTATTTGAAACAAGAGAAGTAAGGTTGTGTTTCATTGTTTCACCTACAGGGTCGGTCATCTGACAGTTCTTGCACACAACCCATTTCATTGAACCATGTCATAGAAAATCTATTGGCATATTAGTCCAAAAGCCGATTGCAAATTTCAACCGTCATCTGTGTCATCTGATAACGAAATGATATACAGGGTGTTAGTGAATAAGTGCGACAAACTTCAGGAGTTGATTCCTTGTGATATTTTAGGAAATAAAGTTCATATAAACATGGGTCCTAACTTGCTTCGTTTTTGATATACAGGAACAACGCCCCTGTATAAGTTTTCATGGTGCCAAAATTCAGTATGGTTGGATCTATGGTTGGAGACTGAAGAAGTCCCAAAATTTCAAAATGATTCTTATTGAGGTTATTGAGTAATCTCAATGAATGTTTCGAGAGTACTTACATTGAAATTTGGAGTCAAATAGAATTTTTATTGTTTCCCCAAATACTAAGCGAGGTACAAGAGGAACACAGGATAAGAAAGTTGATATTTCAATTGTTCAATCTAATAAAAATATGAGTCAACAAAACCAGTGGCGTATGATATTATGTTTCCGAGAATATTTCACCCCTCTCGAAAGATAATATCCGATGGACCTGTGTACTTCAGAAGATTCTGTTTGTTTTCAAATTCTCATCGTGTGTGTTCAGTAGATGTAATTCAATATTCGTCGTGGCATATAGCCAGCAAAGTAGTTGTTTTCTGTTGAATAGACCTCAATCGCAGATTCGTGATAAGGTTTTTCTCATTTCAGAATTTCTTTCCACGTCCTGTATGATGAATGTCAATTCATCATACATTCAAAAAATTTAATTTAGGAGTTTTCAAGACTTCCATAGTGAGATTACTCAATAACTCCAATTGGAATCATTCTGAAATTTTGGGGCTTTCTCAGTCTCCATCCATACTGAATTTTGGCACCATGGAAGCTTATACAGGGGGGTAATAAATAAAAACAATTAATACTTCCAACTTCAACATCCTGTATCTCAAAAACGGAACAAGTTAGGACACATGTTTATATGAACTATATTTGCTAGAACATCACAAAGAAACACCCCTTGAATGTTTTCGTTATTTAGATACACCCTGTATAAGCCGGTACCTACATGCCATTGAATTTCACGCACATAGTAGAGAAGAACGTCCCTGTATAAATTCTTGGCAATTCTATTCGTTTTACAAATTGCACTTCATGTTATGACCATCAGTTTATCATTATAGCATGAACAGGATGACACGATGTTTATAGCATCTCTTTGAACATGATTGACAAGACAAACTAGTTCTCCCAAGTATCTACGTTGTCTGTTTTGAAATGTGTAATTGATAGATGAATACAAATCAATCTATGATGTTGAATATTTATCATAATATCGAGAATTTTGACCCGTTCTGCGAATCCATGCATGGAGTAAATATTTGAATAAGAAGGTTGAATACGAAGTCAGCTGATTGATGAAGTCAGCCACATATTTTCATTCAGGAAATGATTCAAAGCCAAGAGCAGATAATGGAAAAACTATAGGAATTTACCAATATGGTAATTCACTTGAACAAACATCAACATCATAGTCCAGGCAAAATAAAAAAAATGTATGATCATAAATGACCGAAAACGAAAGAACTAATAACCATCGAAAGTCATCATTCAAGGAAACAAACCTGTCAAAGAAATTTTTTTTATATTCCGGAAATTTACTGATTTCTGAGTGTCGGGATAAATCCAAAAACATCTTATGATTTCATACATTTACTGCAAGAATATATGACAATACTCTCCTGATGATGGCCTAGTGCCGAAACTATTAAATTGTATACTATAGCCTGAGTCTTAGTCATTAATAGTTATTTAAACAACTAGTGTATTAATGAGGGCGATTAATGATCGAGATATTTTAATCGATGTTCGAGATCATTAATCGCCTTTTAATAAACAAGTTGGTTACAAATTTTTTCCGTCGACTATATTTCTCATTTCTCCTGCAATGAAGAAAACTTGGTTCGCGAATTCATCATCCATCCGGAAACTGCTAAGAATCACCCAGTAGCCTTGTTACTGACATTATGATATGAATGATCAACATAGAAAATAAATTCCTTGTGTTAGAAAACAGGGATTGAAATCGCGTCAGAAACTTGGAAAGGCGAACCCGTTAACGGAAAATCGTCGATGAAATCCATATTTTCGATTTAAATGTATTCCGTAAGTTATAGCATAATCAATGAATGCACGCGGTGTATGTTTGGTTGCCTATAAAACAATCGTGCATTAATAGACAAATCGTTCATTAATAGGGGTCATTAATGAACGATTTCATATACATTAAACTTAGTCGTTAATACGAGGTCGACGGAAATATTGATTATCGTACTTTTTATATTTTTATAAATTGGATATCGAACAAAATTACAATGGAAAATGACTTGTTACTTCATTCGATTCGTTTTCTCACAAACCTAATGAAATTGTGATATATTGCTTTTGATAGGTGATATTGATATGATTGAAGATTATGATAATTACGATATGTCATAATTTTGAAAATTGAAAAATATGAAAAATGTCAAATGTGGGGTATGTCATACTTATGATGTAATGATTCTCCACCAGATTGCCGCCGGCTTAATCGGGGTCCATTTTAACACGGAGTTTCATTATGATACTGATTTCGACCTATAGAAACACGTATTTGGGAATAAACAGGCGGATCTACGTTTCCATCTCACTTGCTTGAGTTGTTTGACATTCAATTTCAAATGACATTCAATGACAACGCGTCAATAGTACAGGCAATTTATGGACTGATGATCTTGAAATATGAATAGTAAGAAATTGATTTATGCTTTTATTGAAAAAATAGTCTGTGCAACGATCATGTAATGGCTTTTAAATATTATTTAAATAGCGCTAAAATACGATGATTTCTGATCCATAATGGGACGGACACCTCTATTCTATCTTCAACTGTCATTATATCGTTCCCCTTTCCTCCACATCACCGGGTCATAATGGATCACGTGATCATCAATCGATTAATCAATCAATCAATCAATAATATCATACTGTCCAAGAACACATTCTTATTGACAACGCGTACAAAATTAATGCTAATAGTAAATCTGGCATATGACTTTATTTTTGCTTCTCATGTCTAGTTCATGTTATATTTATGTCTAATTTTTGCATGTGTTTACATCATTAGTTCATTTTGGAGGAAAACATATACAGGGTGATTGGATCAATATGACCGAATACATTATAAGCAAAACGGAATTTTATTTCTGACTACTAATTCTTGATCACTCCACCTTTTTGCTTGCCTTTAGAGGGTTCTGCACATTCCCAATCACTCTCTTTATAGTTCACTACACTGTTTTACCACTAACCAAACCGATTTTTTAACGCCTCGACACGTGTTTCGCTAACTATGTTAGCATCTTCAGGAGAAGATTAAAACTAAATATCCTATTCTACTGTGCTGCTTATATACTAGGTATATGTTCACCCAACTGTGAAAAATACTAACCGTCAAGTTAATATTTGTCATGGTTGAGTTCACATGTTATCTTAATTTACTAAACTATATAGAGGGCTATATGGAATAGGTCCATTATCCTTATTCATTACTCTATCACTATTCTTAAATATCTCTAAGCTTTCATATGCGTCTAGTTTTCTAATGTTATTAACTTGCTTAACTAATTTGAGGTTAGTAATATGTGTGTTATGATTGTGATTGAACATATGTTCGGCTACACAAGATTTATCTAACCTGCCATATTTTAAATGGGCTATGTGTTCTTTGAACCTTGTTTTTATGGGTCGCCTGGTTTGGCCTATATATGTTTTATCACAATCATTACAACTTATTTCGTATATTCCCGACTTTTCAAGTGTGTCCACTTTATCTTTCGGATTGCCTAATAAATTGCCTAATTTTGACCCAGACTGATGAACGCTTTCAAAACCTAAGTCTTTGAAAACCTTATCAAGTCCCTTCGTATACTTGGGATTGTACGGGATTGGGATTCTTCTAGAGTTCTTTTTATCCGCTTGAAAAGTCGTAGAATATCGAAGTGTTGACTTAAATTTATGTCTACGTATTAATTTATCTACTATTTTGATATCATACCCATTGACGCCAGCCACTTTATAAACAACATTTCTTTCAGCATTGAATCTTTCTTTGCTGAGAGGAAAGGAAATCAATCTGTGTACTAGAAAAT